CAAACTCATAACACCAACATAAAATGAGGGAAATCCATTAAAATAATTAATGGACTCATAAGACATGTCTGGGACATATAAGATAAAGAAAGACTGAGAAACTTTCACACATTGGAGAAAACTAGGGAGACATTACAGCTAAATACAAGGCAGGATTTGGGACTGTAACCAAAACCAAACATAGCATTAGTGGAAAAACTAGCTAAATGCTATTGAATTCTGTAGTTTAGTTCATAATAATATACTATATGCAAATTTCCTTGTTTTGATAAATGTATAGCGAGTCTGTAAATTGGGTAAAGGCTTTAAGTGAACGCTCAGTACTATTCACAACTTTCTCTAACTCAAAAATCATTGTCAAACATGGGCTGGAGAGACAGTACAGCAGGTAGAATACTTCGCAACCGGCTGATCTGGGTTTGATCCCTGGCACCAAGTATGATCTTCCCAGCACCTCCAGGAGTGAGATCCTCCCAGCAACTCACTCCTGGTCCTCCCTCACTAAGCACTGCTCAGGAGAGCATAGAACCATGAGTAAGCCCTGAGCACAACTGGGCATTGCACCTCTACCAAAAAAATTATTGCTGGAGTTTTTTTAAAGTATGATTCTTGGCCACTGCTTAAGAAGAGCCAAATGGACTTCACAACAGTTGCCAAGGCAGGAAAAAATTATAGGCATGTGGATACAAGGCCCACACAAAGCACAACTCACACCGCAAAACTGTACCTGGTTATCTATTTCCAGAACAGAATATGTCATCCCAGTACCTGGCAGATCTTGGGGACCCTAAAGAGGTATCAGTGGTCAGTTCAGGTGTTCAGGAGTATTTGCCCACTGGGAGCTCCTGCACGTGGACGAAAAAAAGATAAAACCCTGCTTACTCATCTACCTATCTCCTTGTATCATGCCAGGTGGGATGCAGAGATCCTGGTCAGGGCCCTGAGTTGGACCCAATAGGATAATCGAAGTCATTTCACTGGTGAAGTTAATATGCGTTTAGCCATATGTTTTATTCTATGCACCCTGGAACTTCCACCAAGGGGAAAAAGGTTCAGCCTCCAGCATCACCCGTTATAGTGACCACTACCTAGACCTTAGGACAGACCACTCTCTCAACTCTCACAGTACTCCTGCCCATGGTCCCCACTGCTGATGATGGGGGCGTATTGTGACACCTGAGCTCACCGAGTTCTCCCAACAGTTCAGCTACATGGCAACAGATCCAGAGAGATAGTTCAGTGGGTAGGGTGTTTGCCTTGCATGTGGCAAATCTGGATTCAGTCCCTGGCACCCCTTATAGTTCCCTGAACACTGTCAGGAGTGATCCCTGAGTGCAGAGTCAGGAGTAGGCCCTGCACACAGTTGAGTTTGGCCTCAAAACAAAACAAACAAATAGCGGCGCCATGATTTTGATTAAAAAAACTGGTAAAGCAAGCATAACAGTAAACTAATCTTTATCTTCCCTCCCTGTAATCACCATTGTGATGACTAGGGGTTGTGAACACTTGGTTATGGTGTTCACATACTTGGTTCATCTGAATGATTTTAAGCACACAGTTTAGCAGAAATAAATATATTCACATTGTGCAATCACCAGCACTCGATTCACCTCGTAAAACTAATCTTTATACCCATCAAACAAGTCATTTACCCTCCTCCCAGTCCCAGGCAATTTACCATCCTACTTTGTTTCTATGAGTTTGACAATTCTTAATACGTGAGTAACTCCCACGGTTTTATCTTTCTGTGATTGACTTAATTTATTTCACATCATGTTCTCAAGGTTCATCTGTGCTGCAGTATGTGTCAGAATTTCTTTCTTTTTAAGGATGAATAATTTCCCATTTGTGTATGTAGCCCACATTTTCTTCATGTCATGGGCATTTGGCTATTTTCCCCTTTTGGCTCATGGGAATAATGTTATTAAACAAAGGGGTACAAACATTTAAAATTCCTACTTTTAATCTATTTAGATATCTACCTAGAAGACCTACAAACCTAGGTTGGGTCTTTTTGTTTTTTTGTTTTTGTTTTTAGGAATTGCCACACTGCTTTTTATAATGACCGTACCAGCTTACGTTCCCATCAAGGAATGATGCATATGGATACTAGGATTACAATTTCTCCACATCCTTGCAAATCATTATTTTCTGGTTATTTATTCCCCCTAATAGGTGTGCAATATCTCATTGTGGTCTTGATTTATATTTACTTAATGACTACTTATGTTATGAACCTTATTATAGTTTGTGTTCCCAGGTTAAGGAATCTGAGGCTGAAGTCAGACATGCAGTTACAGTGGGATCAGAACTGAGTCTGTAGGTATTCTCATTCGAAAACTCCTTCTCATGTCACCTGTTCCCCAGAAGGAGAACCACCCTGCCCTTTCACCCTGGTGTGGAGACCCTCCTACCTAACAACCACCAGTGCTCTTCTGTCTCATCCAAAAAGCAAACAAGAAAGAGAGAGGCTACTGGGAGAAGAACTCACATATGTGCATTTGTGATGATGTCTAGGCGCCCTGACGAAGAGACCCAACCAAGAAGCCATGGATTTGGAAGTCCAACAACTCACCCCTCACAACCTAAGTGAATCAAAACCAACCATTTTTTAATAAGATACCTTACCTGGCTGAGACCTCCGGGGCGATCTTGGAAGGGAGGTGAGCCAGCTTCTGCCCCACCAAAGCTCCAGAAGCCTTTTCTACATCCTAAAGCCACTGCCATGCCTCTGGTTGGACATATTCAAAATATTTGGAGAGACATCTCCAAACTCTATAACATGACATTCCAGTATAGCACACCAGATGGGATGGAATATAGAATCCATCCAATCTCAACTAACAAAAACATTAACACAGAAGTCTTAACTTGCATCAACAGCTTAGTAAATTATAAGATAAGCATTTAATGCCCCCATGTTGAGATACAACAATTTTCACAAATTTTCTTCCATGGAAATATTTTTTGATTATTCCATTTGTCATTTAGTGGTAACAAGCAATATAAAATAAATTATTGCGAGCCTTTTACAGGCTTAAGAGGTGGTTGGGAAATGGAGATAATGGTGGAGAGAAGGTGATGGTGGTGAGATTGGTGTTGGAATATTGAATGCCTATAACATCATCATGAACAACTTCGTAAACCACAGTGTTTAAAATGGGGGGCGGTGAACCAGCCAGGATTAGAGAAAAAGTGCTAAAGAACCCATTTTCAGCATTGGTTCCAATGTCCATCTCAGACACTGAAGACAGGATTAAGGAGGGGATAAACTCACCCCTCCCCCACTAGACAGTGAGTGGGGTGGCAAGGTGTGGGAAAGGGAGAATGTAGACACTCAAGAGTTACTGTAAGAGGGACAAAGCTAGAGAAGCACAGACAAGCACAGACACCTCAGGGTCCAAAACAGGAATAGCACTGTCGCTGGGGTTATCCAAAGGTGCTGATGGCACTTTCCCCCGATTTATAGATTCCATATCCATCACTCCAATTCATGCTTACTCACTGTCTTGCTTCTTCTTAGAAAGCAAACAATACAATCTGGCTCTATTATGTCTGGCTTAGAATACTTTACTAGTTACTCACTATCCTCAACCTACCTATAAGGCTTCCTGGGAACTTGTTCTGTAAGAATTTCTCTCCTCACCAACCATCCTCTGAGCTCTACCCAATTCCATCTGGGGAGATTCCATCCCCAGAATCTGCTACATTCCTTGCCTGGGCAAGTTCTACTCATATTTCTAACTCAGTTCAAATGCTGTTGCCTCTCCTTGGAGCATTTTCTAACCTTGTGATTCCCCCAAGGAGGGTAATACATTTGTGCAAGTCATGCAGCAAGCAGCTAGGATTTGAATTCAGGCGCCAGAACCTTCTTGCCATTGCCAGTGGCTATTAATTCTCCCTGTGATATGGTCTGGTGGAATTTGGGCTCAGAAGGCAGAACCCAAAGCCCAGATGCCTGCAAGCTTAGTATCCAGATGAGGCATGACATGGTATCTCACGACAGGCCTCACTGTGCCAAGGGGAGGGGATACATGAATAACAGTGACTGCCTTCAGTTTTTTTTCTTGGAAGAAACCAGCCAGAGCCAGATGAGCCAGATGCTAGGGACTCCCACCTGCCTGCTCAGTGGCAGGTAGGTCTGTGACACTACCCTCCTAAAGGGGTGTGTCCTGGGGTGAGGACATGAAGCAGGACATGCAGGGAGCAAATGATGTGTGTATCAAGATTCCTGAGATTTTGAAAATGAGCCACCGAACCACAAAGGATGCTAAGGTGCTAACGGTACACCGTACACCGGTACACGCTCTGGGAGTCCCTGCCCACCCAGCATGGGGGTTCTCCGCCAGAGAGGGGTGGGGGAGAGAAGGGGAACGGTCGAGGGGGAGTGTGTCTCAGCGGGTCTGTTTCATCATAAGCAGCTGGAGGCCAGGTGCTGCCTCCTTAACTCTCTGCACCTCGGAAGCAGTAGTCAGCAGGAGGTCCCCAGCTCCTTTTCAGAAAAATCGGATGGAGCTTGGGGTAGGACCATGCCTTACCATAAGGTGGGGAGCAAATCCCATGATGCTTCCAGAAGTTGGTACCCGGAGAACAGGCCACAATTGCAGAAGCCCAGCGAGCTCTGTGCGTGCATTTGGGTTCAGGACCTTCTCCTACACCCTCCTCCCAGCCTGGCCCCTGGGAGGAACCTGACTAGGGCTACTCACTCCCAGCAGCATCCTGGCTCTTGGCAAACAGCTTTATGTGTTGTGAAACTCGGAGAGGAAAAGGCCGTTGGTGACCACAATCCCTTCTCCATCCCCTCTACAGTGGACAGGGCGGAGCAAGAAGGAGCTTCTCTCTGGGTCCCCCTCTCCTGGGCTGCAGCCGCGTTAGCTTCAGACTTGCCCGCTAGCTGAGGGGAGCAACCGACCCGGGCGCTGACTCTGGAAGGAGGCGGGCGGGGGTGGGTGGGGGTGGGGGTGGGTGCTAACGCAGGTGAAGGTCGCTCGCGTACCCACCTCGGTGACGATGGTGGACAGGTAGACGTCCTGGCTGTACTCCCAGCCGTCCAGGCAGCCCTCCTGCTCCAGCCGCTCCAGGTCCACATCGCGCCCCGGCTCCAGCCCGAGCGCCGAGAAGTTGGCGATGTCCGCGAGCCGGTAGCGGCGGCAGCTGTGGGGCACCTCGCGGCCGTCCCGCAGCTGCAACGGGACACTGTGGTTGCGCCACGCGTCGCTCAGGTTCGCGGTGTCCGGCACTCGGCAGCGGTGCTCCGGGGTCCCCGCCAGGAACACGACTGACATCCCGTTGAAGCCGTTGGGGATGATGCTGGCGCTGAGCAGGAAGAAGATGAGGCGCTGGAAGGGCCCCCACTGGCCCAGGAAGGCGGTCACCTCGTCGTAGTCCCGCATGCCGCCGTCAGCCGCCCGCGGCGCGCCACAGGCGCGGACAGGAGCGCTCGGGGACACTGCCGCGCGATCTCGGGCGTTCTCTGGGGGTGTCAGCACCTTCTGTCGGAGCCAGGCAGCCTGAGGGAAGTTGGGGTGCGAAGTCGGGGGACGTTCCGGGCAAAGCAGAGACTGACTTCGAGCGTTCCCGGTAGCGGGACGCGGCGCGGGAGGCAGCCGGGGCAGATCGGGACCACACCCCCTGCCGGCGGGGCCGGGGAAGCCAGCGCGGGGCGCCGTGGGGGCGGGGCTGCGGGTGGCCACGCCCCTTCCCGCCTCGCCCGGCTCCCCCCAGCTCCCCAGACAGGGAAGCGGGGTCCCGGAGCCGGGTGGTGTCGCCGGCGTGCGTGCGGGGTGAAGCCCGGGGACCGCGCCCTCCCGTGCCCCGCGACCCGGAAGGGTTGAGTGTTCAGAACCGGTCCGCCGTGTGGGCCGCACCCCGAGAGCGGGCGAAAAGGAGGCGCCGAGGTCGTAGACCAAGGTCTTCGGGAGGTCGCATGAAGCCGGGCCCCGGCCAGAGGTTTCCCGGCGGCCGTCAGTCGCGGCGGTGGGAGTCTGCCGGCCGCGGGGGAGTCCGCGATCCCGGGAAGCCTGGGCGGCCGCGGGGCTGTGACAGCCCGGCGGCGACCCGTTCATTGGATATGTCTCCTCACCTGAAGAAGGGAAGGCTCGCTCATCTCCCGAAGTGGATGCGCAGGGTCACGCCGCTGCGTCAGAGCTGGACTCGGAATGAGGGGACATGCGGGTGGGGGTGGGGGGAGCTGCAGGCGCCGGGTGGTCTCAGGGTCCCTCGGTGCCTGGCGCCATGGTGAGAGCTCGGAAATGGAGGCGCTGCTGTCACGACTCCCCGGGTTCTGATTCGGGTGTCTTTGCTCGTCGGACGCCCCAGGGCTTTATATTGGGCTCAGCTGCCAGAACCTTCTTGGACTGCGAGGCCTCCGGTTTTGCAGAACCAACAGCCCCAGTCCAGGAACAGAGGGAGGGCAGGAGGGCGGGAGGGAGGAAGAAAGAGGTCCAGCTTGGTGCCAGATCTAACAGAGTGACAGGAGCAGGGTTCAGCCTGCTGCCCGGGGACTGTCCTGGGAGTCGCCTTGGTGAGGCAGACGACAATGACAGGCTGAAGGGTTCCACATCTTTGGAGATTTTGTAAAAGTGTGTTTGCTGCTGGGAATCCAGGAGGCTGAACGATATTTGTTTCATTTGTTTTTGTACGCTCCATTCAGAGCCTTATGATGAATTGATCCTAATTTCTTGGATAGATGGAATCCTTTCAAAAAAAAAATTCCCTTTGTTTCAGTGCCAGAATGGAATCCAGGGCCTCACAAATATAAAAAGCAATTGCTCCACCTCTGACCTACTTACGCTGGCTTTTCACTCCTTGGAACCTTCCTTTCCTTGTGTGTAACTAGCCTGCTTGTCCTGGTGTACCCAGACAGCTGATTTTTTTGCCTAGCACTCCAGTAAAATTGTTAATAGCACATTCCTTTTTTAAGAAAGTGTATGCCCTTGAACAATATTTGCCATATAGTATAGTCACTTCGTGGGCTGGAGTGATAGCACAGCGGTAGGGCGTTTGCCTTGCACGCAGCCAACATGGCCAACCCGAGGTCGAGTCCTCCACCCCTCTCAGAGAGCCTGGCAAGCTACCGAGAGTATCTCACCTGCACGGCAGAGCCTGGCAAGCTCCCCGTGACGTATTCGATATGCCAGACACAGTAACAACAAAGTCTCCAATGGAGACGTTACTGGGCCTGCTCGAGCAAATCGATGAACAACAGGAGGACAGCGACAGTAATAGTCACTTCGTAACTTGGATTTCATCTCCCCACCCTTCCTCAATAATCAAACAGAAGGAAGGAAGCTTTGTAGCTTGGTTTATTTTGAGTCGTGATCTCAGAGATCACTAATTAGATCACAGGCATGAATATCAAGAACTGTGAGCGAGGCCAGGGTGTAAGGCCGACACAGACAGACTGACCAGGTCATTTGTGTTCACCAGCATCAGGCACAGCTTAGAGTTAAAGGCCAAAGAAGGTATTAGCAATGCTGATCTGATCTTTACTATAAGTTTTAATATTTTTGTACATCATGGATTTTTACATTGCTTTTGATTTCTAAAAATATTTTATTAAAGTGTGTGTGTGTGTGTGTGTGTGTGTGTGTGTGTGTGTGTTCCAGGGATTGAACCCAGGGCCTTAGATGTGCAAAGCATATGCTTTACCACTGCTCTACATCACTACCCCCATATTTATCTTATTGAATTTTTTGACATCCCTCTCCCCATTAAATGTACCAGAGGCAGATGCCCCATATATTTTACTTACTTCACCTTTTCCTGACTCTTATTACTACCAGTGAGCAATTGGGATTTGATTATACTGGGAGCCTCTCAAGAACCATCTAGAATGAAGAGACTCATTTCTGAATGGAGCTTAATTTTCGTCTCCATTAGTCAACTCTATTGCACATGTGAGAGAGTCAAGCAGGTGCCATTCAACTAAACAGTTTGCCTTTGTCTTTGCCTCTAAATCCAAACTTTGAGTCTTCTGCCTTCCTGAGTCCCCTGGGCAAGGAAGGAGCTGGGTGTAGGCCCTAAGTACTGGGAGTAAGACCTCAAAACAAACACTAAAATGCAAGACTAGAGAGGTAGTACAGTGAGTAAGGTGCCTACCTTTCATGTGGCCAATCTAGGTTCTATTCCCAGCACCATATAAGGTCCCCCAAACACTGCCACGAGTGACCTTTGAGTGCAGAGCTAGAAGTAAGCCCTGACCACCACATAGTTTGGCCCCCAAACCAAAATAAAAGAAAAATGTATGACAAGAGCATTACTCATACTTAGACTCATTGGGGATTAGCCCCTTACCTTTGTTATGTACGGTTGCTCCTATCTGGGGCTATGTTGCAGTAATTATCTGTTTCTTTGCTAGTATCAAGTCATCTGTGAGTGAGGGCTAAATGTTATTTTCCTCTGTTGGTTAAGGAGAATTGTCCTGATAAGACGATAGGTTTGCATTGAGAATGATGAGGTAGTTGTCACAGGAGTCTAAACTGGCTGTTTTTAAGCTTCTAGACCTATGAAGTTAGCATCTATCCATCTATGGACTAGCACTTGAAAACCATTCATCATTAACTTAATTGAGCCCTGTAGACTCACTCAATTCTGATCCTCATTCCACACATTATTACAATGACCTGCCGGTGTGCCTCCCTTAAGCTTATGACTTGCAGGACTCTAACAAGGCCGGGATTATACTGGGCATCTCAAGTCATCTGATGTCTCATTGCCAGGCACTATTTTTACTGTGGCCAAATGGCTGCTTTATAAAAGGCAAATAGTTGCCTGCTCCCAGGCATGATCTTAACTCTTTATTAGCTTATCAGTGACTATCCAGTATCCTCTGTAGCCCTTTCAAACCTGCTGGGTAATAGGAATCAAATATTGGGGAACCTTGTTCTGTGGTCGGATATACTATAGAGCTCTCCCTTGCTCTGGGCTTCATTCAAAACTGAAAGTCTTCCAAGGTAGTTGATTAATGGTCAGGGTGGTATTCTCACTAAGCTATGTCTTTTTATTAGTGATAGAAGGTTCAGAGTACAACAACTAGCCTTTACCTTATAAGGGATGAGCTGGCATATCCCAGACTATTGGATTCCTAATAATGTCACAAGTCTGCTTCATAAGAATATGAGATGGAAAAAGTGAATGAGAATATAGATTTTAAAAATTGGTCATGAGGCTGGAGCAATAATATGGTGGGTAGGGCATTTGCCTTGCACACTGCAGACCTGGGTTCAATCCCTGGCATCCCTTATGGTCCACCAAGCCCAGCAAGGAGTAATTCTTGAGTGCAGAGACAGGAGTAAGCCCTGAGAATCACAGAGTGTGACCCAAAAAGCCAAAAACAGTTGGTTATGATAGTGGTTTTATGGATTCACTTTACTAGTTTATGCTTCACTCATTACACTGAATTCATTTGAGAACAAAAAGGTACAAAACATCTCCAAAATGGAAAGCTTTGACTCATCGTGCTTTTCCCCCTTTATCCTCTGTTATGTGTGTGTCTGACAGAGACATCAAGAGAACTTATTCCTTCTCAGTAGATTACATTAGCATTTTTTGTTAATACAGTGGACCATTATGATGTTCTCTGGAATACCTTGGCAATTGAAGTCACTAAATATTATGTGGTTATAGGATAATTAACATAGCCTAGGGGCAATAAGAAATATGTACTGCTATGTATCCCACATAAAAGCAAACAGGATTAGATTTTACTGAAGAATATGGAGGGAGAAATCTTTGATGTTGGTGCTAATCACTGCAATTTCTAGGGTATGGGTTTGCTTCTAATTTAACACATTGACAAAAGAGGGGGTGGTTTTCTCTGGCACAGTGCCCATTTACTTAACTCCTCGGAACACCATTGTTTATTAGTCATATCAAACTGCCCCATAAGACGACACAGTTGTTGCTATGTTGATTTTGTGATTATATCCACTTTATTTCTGTTAAGTATCACCAAGCAGCCTCTGCCATCTCCAAGACTGCATTTTGTATTGCCCCAATGAAGGGAGTGGATTTGCCTTGGGGATGTAATCTGGAACAAGTTCTCTTTTCTTGAATGATAAAAACAGTCAAATATTCTCTCACCCCAGCATGTTTAATGGAACACAGGTCCTGTCGTTTCCCACTGTGCATGTTGTTTCCTTGTGGACCAAGGACTATATTTCCTCAGAGAGATGGTGCTGAGACCTAGATCCACTTATTGCACTAGGCAATGATGGGGAGAATGTGGGGAGGATAGGCATCAGTTTGGAGATACTTGCCTCACACCAGGATTCTCTTTTGGAGAGACTGCTCCCTAAAGCAGGAGAGAGAGTTACTACTGCTGGTTAAAAAAAAAAAGCAAAAACCACTGGCAGAGCAGTTACTACTCTGCTACTTCTGACTTTCAGAAAATCCAATGCCTCTGCATTAGATCATTCTTGTCCTCGAATGTCCTTAATCTGTGGTCTAGGGAGCTGTGAATTTCCCATCAGGCCACAACTTTGTACTGGACCCTTCTGAATTGCTTGTGTAACCTTTCTGACGCCTCAGTCATGCTTACAATCAAATCAGTTCTAACTTGGACTTTATTTCCAGCACAGTCTGCCCACTGGCTACAGGAAGTGAGACTGAAAGCTTTCAAGGAGGCCTGCTTTCCCTAGTGAGCTCTGACTTCATTTAAGTTAGTTGACCTGGGCCTTTTTTTCAAGTTTTTGGAGCACTTAGCAAAAGTCATTAAATCCCACCATCACTGAATATTCAAAGTGCCATAATCAAGGTTCTTGCAACTACTGAAGTCTGGAGTGTTGATTCTAGTGTTTAGCAATGGCCTCATTCCGTGGATTTGTGAGAGAAAGAGCACTCTCTTGGTGCTGGGGAATGTATCTCAGTGAACATTTGCTTTGCAAGTATGAGGCCCTGGGTTCAACTGAATCAAATAAATATGAAAAAAAAAACCCAGCAAAATAAGACAAGGTAAATTCTAGCTTACCAGTCAATGCCATGTGTCTTACCTGAAAAAGAATGTGAATTAGAGTTTCAACACCACCAGATGTGACCCCCAGTGGCCCCAGCTCTGGGCCAAGCATTATAGTGCCTAGCTCCATTGGCCAAATATTGCTAGAAATGGTACCTAGTCTCTTTGCTTGGGAATCCTCCCCCACCTCAAAATATGTATCCAGACATTGATATTGTCTTCTGGGGTGGGGGTAGGGAGGGTAAAATGATCTCTGTTTATAAATCATACATGCCAAGATCTTACTTTCTACCTGTGTCTCACTTCTGTCTGGCATGGATAAGAACCAAGGTGAGGTTACAGCATGACAGACATTGTTACCAGTACCATATTCCTATTAGGTAAATGTTTCAACTCTAGAGTTCCTTTCTTTGGATC